CAGCTGCAGCAGCTGCAGCAGCTGCAGCAGCTGCAGCAGCTGCAGCAGCTGCAGCAGCTGCTGCAGCAGTACGGGGGCGAGCAGCCGGCGCAGCAGGCGCAGGCGCCGGGCCGCGTTCCGCTGCAGCGGCAGCAGCAGCAGCAGCAGCAGCAGCAACTGCGTTCGCGTCCGCTGCAGCAGCAGCAGCAGGCTGCGCGGATGCCCGCGTCGGGGCTGCAGCAGCTGCAGCAGCTGCAGCAGCTGCAGCAGCTGCAGCAGCTGCAGCGGCAGCAGCAGCAGCAGCCGCAGCAGCCCGGAGAAGGAGACGAAGAGCAGCAGCAAACTGGAGAAGAGATTGCTGTCGAAGCAGCAGGAGCAATAGAAGCAGCAGCAATTGCCATTCTTGCTGCTCACTCTTTGTTCAAAACTGGAGACACAATGTTTGCTGCAGTGCCTGTGGAAGAGCTGCTGCAGCAGCTGCAGCTGCTGCAGCAAACCGGCTTCCTCCGCAGCAGGGGATACAACCTTTTAGGGTTTAGGGCCCCCTTCTTCGAAGGAGACAAAACCTCTTTGCTGCCGCCGCCAGGAGCTGGAACTCCTTTCGTGGTTTGCATGCAAAAGGGAATGACTTGCTGCGTCCCGGAAACCGCCGTCCTCAACTGGCGCGAAAAAATGTAGGGTTTAGGGTTTAGGGTTTAGGGTTTACGGTTTAGGGTTTGGGGGTTAGGGTTTAGGGGCGAGGGAGTGGGCTTTGGGGTTTGGGGTTTAGCGGCTGGGGTTTGGGGGTGAGGCTTTGGGCTTTGGGGTGTAGGGTTTGGGGTTTAGGGTTTGGGGTTTAGGGTTTGGGGTTTAGGGTTTAGGGTTTAGGGTTTAGGGTTTAGGGTTTAGGGTTTAGGGTTTAGGGTCAGGCCCTATTTGAACGACAAGAGCGGCTCGCGGCGCTGCCGCGCGCACTTCGTGTCGGTGAAGAACGCGCTGTGCGCGTCGACGAGTTACCCGCAGGAGCTTTTGGAGGAAAATTTGGAGAAAAAAGGGGAAAAAGAAGCGGAAAAAAAGGTTTTGGAGACGGAAAAAGACGCGGAATCGAAACGCACCGAAAGAATTAATGCAGTTGGCGAAAAAAACAAAGAAAATCCCAAAAAAATTGATTTCAAAAGTCAAGAATTGTGCGGAATGGGAGTGGTCGAAACCAGCACCTTTTGGGTGTACAGACACCTCCTCGTCATTCCCGACAAAACCATGAACAACGCCATTTGCGAATGCAAACGACCCAAAAGCCCCAATGACGAGGTTTCCAAACCCTAAACCCTAAACCCTAAACCCTAAACCCTAAACCCTAAACCCTAAACCCTGCTGAACGTGCGGTTTCAAGAGCTGCCTTCCAATGGGCCCCACATGGCCTAAACCCTAAACCCTAAACCCTAAACCCTGAGACAATCAGCAATGCCATTTGCGAATGCAAACCACCGAAAGCCCCTAATGACGAGGTTTCCAAACCCTAAACCCTAAACCCTAAACCCTAAACCCTAAACCCTTATCTCTAAAGGCTAAACACCATGAAATCCACCACCGCGAAAGCTGCCTGTCAGTTACGCTATAAACGTCATACTCTACCCCCTAAACCTTAACCCTAAACCCTAAACCCTAAACCCTAAACCTTAAACCCTAAACCCTAAATGAGTGTTTAATTCAGGGACGCGTGCAAATTGAGGGTTTTGCGAATTGGGAGTATTCTCTTTCGATGGTGAAGAGGGCAGAAGAAAACCAAAAAAGGGCCGACGAAATGACCCAGGTCCTCCAAACCCTAAACCCTAAACCCTAAACCCTAAACCCTAAACCCTAAACCCTAAACTCTAAACCCTCGGCTGAGTTTTGCTTCCTTTTCTTTCTTCTTTTCGCAGCCTTCAAACCCTGCAGCTGCCTGCTATCTTTTCCCTATTATTTATTA